ATAGTGTTTAGCTACAGGAGTAGCAGTAAAACTAATCAAATAGATAAATACTGTAAAATAGATTAATTCTTGAACATATTTGACATGTTTGTTGACTTTTATTGTGAGTATCACTTGTTTTTGTTTATTTTTAATATTATATTTTTATTTGTTACGTGATAAGATGATATTGTATATGTGATATTTTAATTTTTCAGTTTTTTAATTTGCTTTTAAAGTTATTATTATTGACTGTAAATTTATTTTCAGTTTGTTTGTATTTATTATAAGTAACCATAAATTTAATATTCTGTAATTATTGTATTATGATTTTTTTTAATGAGTAGTATTATATATGGTTGCTATTAAATTTAAATATGGATAGAGTATTTTGATTGGAGAGATGGAAAATAATTTATTTTGTTTGTTTGTTGATCATTTTTCTCTTAAGATTATATTGATGTAGTAATAAAATATTTCTATAACACATATCTTTTATATTATTTTATATTTTGATTATTATTTAAATTTATAATTTTTTTAATCGTGTTATATCCGACAAAATGTGGAATTAAGGAATATTTGCCGAAAGGAAGACAGTCTGCCGAGAGAAGTGGTCTTCCCGAGTATATTACCGAGGAAAACAGTTATGTCAAGAAAATTGCTGAGAGATTCTACCCGGGTTGTGACATATCTCGATAATGGTTAAATGATTAGATCTTTAGTCGAGAGAAACGTGATTACAGTCGGAAGGAGAATGATTGGTATGGACTATAGTCGAGAGAAGTGTGACTACAGTCAAGCTTTTTTTGAGAAACACAACCTTTTTTTGAAAAAAAAACTACATAATTTTTTTCTGTTGTATTATGATAAAAGTTTGTTGCTTTTTTATTGATAAACTATTTTTAAATTTTATAGTTTTACTCAAAGTGTAAAATAAAGAATATAATTAAATAGGAATGACATATGTCAATTTGTTGAGTGCCGCATGATAGCGTTTCAAAGCTCATTCTAAAAAAACAAAATATATTATAATAGATATATATATATATATATTTTTAGTCATAAATTATTGATATCATATTTATTTTTTAACCGTATCATATTTCTTATTTTTTCAAGTAAAATTATATCTTTAATAGGAAAACTTAAACTATTTATCAATAAATAGTAAGAAGAACTATTTTTTAACAAATAAACTTAAACTATGTTTTAATGAATAGTAAAAAGATTTAGAAAATGACACATATCAAATGATATTATTTTTTATGAGTTTACTTTTATGCATTTTTGACTTCTAAAAATATTAACATAAAAGTAAAAAAAATACATATTTTATAAATAAAAAATCTAAATTCTCTATAAAATAAAATAAAATAAAAATACTAAGTCGAATAAAAAACAAAAAAAAAATGAGAAATGGATATTGATAGCGAACAAAAATGAAAGAACTTGAAGAAAATAGTATCAAAAACTCTAAATTATTTTCCAAAAAAATAGAAAATACTAATTTAAATAAAAAACAAAGAGAATCTGGAAACACATATTGAAGGCAAACAAATATGGAAGAAACTGAAAAAAATAGTTATCAAACTTAAAGAAAATATATATTTGTTACAAATCACAAAAACTACAAATTCTATATAAAATAAATAATTTAATATATTATTTAGAATAAAAAAGAATGTGGAAAAGGAGCTGTAAGACGTGACAACTTGTAGATAATAGTTATCAAACTTAAAGAAAAATTAAAAGCTTAGAAATATTTATGTATAAAAATAAACTAAAATCATTCAATAAAAAGAAATACTTATTTTACAAACTAAAAAGTTTAATTTTTGTACTAAATTAAAAAAAAATCAAACTATTAATTCGAATAAAAAAAAAGAACTGAATGATTGAAGGCGAACAAAAATGAAAGAACATGGATAGAATAGTTATCACGGATCTTGATCAGATAAAGCTGTCCGCTCAAAGCCAACAAGTGTGTGATCCACTGATTCAGAATACTAATTCGAATAGAAAAACAAAGAGAATCTGGAATCAAATATTGAAAAAATTGAAGAAAATAGTGTTAGAACTTAAAGAATATATATATATATATATATATATATATATATATATATTTAAATCATAAAAACTACAAATTTGATATGGCACTAATAGAATTCAAAATATTATTTGGATTAAAAAACAATAGACAGTGCAAAAAGAGTTGGATGACGAATACATACAAAAGATGACACAACAACTTGTAGATAATAGTTATCAAATTTAAAGAAAAAAGCAAAAGCTCTGAAATATTTATATATAAAGATAAAGTAAAATTATTCATATAAAATAAATACATATTTATAAAATGTAAAAATTACAAATTTTCTATAATTTAAAATGTTTTTTCTAATACAAAGAAAGAGAATGTAAAGAAAATATATAGAAGAGGAATAAATACAAAATATGACGGAAGAGTTTGCAGAGTTATCAAACTTAAAAAAACTTAAAAAAATTAAGCATAAAAAAATAAAATCATTTATATTTACTTTACACTGAAAAATGAATGAAATTTCTATAAATCAAGAAGAATAAAGTGTTTAATGATGTAATATATAATTGAACTTGATCTATAATAAGGAGGAAACAAAAAAAACGCCTGGCTATTTGTGCTTCAAAATGAATTAAAGTTTCGAGAGTTAATGAAAAAATATAAGAACTTGTTTAATATAAAGTGGGTGAAGTTGATGGTGAATTCATATTGTTGTTCTTGCTGAAAATTAGCATTATAAAAAGTTTTACAAAATAATTGAATAGAAATATATGTAGTGCAGAAACATATATAATTATGGTTATGGCACTTGTTCGGGAGCAAAATTCGGGATGCCACATGGGGGTGTGTTATTCGTCCAAGGAGTAGAGTTGTACCTCCGAGTTTCGTCCTCTGGGGAAAAACGATGAGACGTTCCAGGGCGGAAGCCGGTTCGGGTCCTATCAGCGGGGTAGTCGACACATTTGGCCCTGTAAACACTATTCAAGAGGTTATTCGGGCCTTCGGGGAGATCGAAAGGGGGTTTCCATCCCGAAGGTTCTATGACGCCCAAGTCAATGAACGTCCTACCGGAAACAAGTACTCGGAAAGGTGTTTCTACAAGTTTGGGTAAGAAGTCTCATCCGGAGATCGAGACGTCTGTCTATTTAACGAGTGTATCGATGGGGTTCTATAATAAAATAAAAAGGTTCATCAAGTATAAAGACGAGGTTCCGAGTTAAGGAGGGAATAGTCCTCGTAGACATAACCTCGAGGGGACGGAGAGTTCTCCCTTGATTATGCTGTTCGGCGGTGCAAGTCGATTTGTATCGTCTGGGCTTAGGTCGAGCTCCGGGAGCCTATACTTAGGTCCGGTTTTCCTCTCGTCTCTTCGTCTCTTAGATTGGGTCTGCTCGAGCCGATCTCCTCCTTGTGTGGTGGTCTCTCTCCTTTTATATTGTCCTTCTCCCTGTCATATCCTCTCAATTTGGCGTGCCAGAGGAGCAGGTGGACTAATGATTCATGCGTGTTCGGGAAGCGCGCCAACTACCCGGGAACAGTGCGTGGAAGTGGTTCGGCCAAACTAGAAAGGCGTGTGTCAGTGTCTAAGATAGGTTGGTGTCCACATATCGCATCATCCTTGGAAATCGATAAAACCTATTCTAATAATAGTGTATCCCAATAATAGTGTATAAGTATATAAAATGTTTTTTTACACAATTAACACATATTAATTTATATTAAAACTGACTCCACATTAGATTTACATATTTTAAGACAATAAAAAATCAAAACAATATTTATAATTATAAAAAACAAAAAAACAATACAAATAAACTAAAAGTAAATGTAATAATATAAATATATAAAACTATAAATTATGAAACCGATTTACAAATAACTCTGTACAACATATGTATCAGAATTTAGTTACATAATCAAATGTACATGAAAAATCCTATAAAAGTTTCTTAAACATTTAAATATTAAAAAGGTTTATTAATTTTTATGTTTAGATAATACTATATTACTACTATTGGTTATGAAGATCTCAATAATTGGCCTGCTGATACAAAGTTGGCCCACTAATAGAGTCAAAGCATGGATATAGTAATGTTTGGGCCTTTAAATTTCCCTTTGGACAATATTATTAAGGCTAATGCATTTCTTGGATGGAAATTTCTGTCTTGGCTTTCGCTCAGCCTGTTACGGATCGTGTAGCCGCGTCTCTTACTCTTGCTAAAGACTAAAGAGGATTATCTATATTAATGTAATCGATGCCTACAAAACTGATATATGGAATTTGAGTACCTAATTGGCATGATAAGATGGAATTTCTTAACAAATTAATTACAGTTTACAAAACTGATATATGGGATTTGAGTAACCAGTTGGCATAATAAGATGGGATTCCTCAACACATTAGCTACATTTATTGTTTCTGATCAGACAATTAGCTAATTTCTACATCTGAATGATAAATGATAAAATAAAATAAAAATAACCAATTTTAAAGAAGAAAACAATTAATTATAGATTAAAAAGATTACATATATATTAATATAATTGATGTCTACAAGACTGTTATATAGGATTCGAGTAATCAGTTGGTATGATAAGATGAAATACCTTAACAAATTAGCTACATATTTTGTTTTTGGTCAAACAACTAGCTAATTTATACATTTAAACAATAAAGAATAAGAAGAAGAAAAAAATAACCAATTTTGAAGAAGAAAAAAAATGATTAAAGACTAAAGAAGATTACCTATATTAATGTTATTGATGTCTACAAAACTGATATAGAATTTGAGTTATCAGTTGGTATAATAAGATGAGATTTCTTAACAAATTAGCTACAATCTTTATTTTGGGTCAAACAATTAGATAATTTCTACATCTGAACAATAAAAAGATAAGATGAAAAGAATAACCAATTTTGAAAAAGAAAAAAAAAAGATAAATAGAGGACAATTTTTCACTATGTCTTAAATGCAAAAAGAAAATTAAAAAATCTTCTCAACAAATAGCAAACAACAAATGGATGCAAAATGGAATTCAATGATTGTTATAATGTTTGTGGTGGCAATGGTAATGGCAATGAATACAGTCAACGCAATGACATTGAGTGAATGTCGTGACAATTGCCCTCAAAGTTGTGCTTTCACCGGTGCACCTGAGTACAAATGCCTCCAGAGTTGTTACCAACGATGCCAAGGTTTACCACCATACAGAATAGGTAGTGATCTTTTTAATAAAACAATAAGATAATAACTTTTAAATTACATCTAAGCAAATGATTATTGAGATTTTTTCTAACTACAAAAAATATTTTGGGTTGAACTTCAATTAGGTAAGCTATTATTTTACGCAAATCATAAATATATTTTTCAAAAACATAATAAAATTATAAATAGTCTGAATAAAAAGAAACGACACTTCAAAATGTAAAAAGGTGAAATATTATTTTTCAGCCAATTGGTTTAAATCTCAAAAATTTTTATCGTAATGTGTGCCCCCATAAATTGTATCAAATGTTGCTTTTCAATTAATCTTAATATTTAAAACAATATCATATGTAAGTATATAGTTCTCAAGAAATTATTTTTTCAACACAAGACATTATTTGAAAAACGTGTTGTATTACCGTATACATTTTTTGTCGAATTTTAAAAGTTTGATATTATTGTTATAGAATTTGAATTTCTCATTACTAAAATAATGGATTGGTTTTACTTTGTACAGTGGAAGCGCATACATAGAAGAAATCAGCATTGGACTCCTAAGAATTTTAAACTTTTACTTATGGCATCAATTGTAATACAGTTACTTAAAACTAAAATAAATATTTTTTTCAGAGATTTGGTTTTTACTTGAAAATTAAGGATGCAAATGGTTAAAGTAATAGAAGAACAATTATCAGCGCAATCATCTATCATGCTACATTTCTTTAAAATCTTTATATTTACAAGTTTTTTTTAATTTGTGAAAAAATAAAACCCACATTTTAGGTAAAGAATGAGCTGATATTTAGTCCTTTTTAAAATGAAAAAATAATCATATATATAATTAGCCAAATCTCTTTCCAACAAAACTGTCTGCATCAGCATTTTTTAACTAAATTGTGACATGTGCATTGCACAAACTTATCCATTAATTTAATTTTAATTTTTTATATTAAGATTAATATTATGTATATGTTTATTATATGTTATCTTTTAAATTTTTTGTTATCTTAATATATATATATTATTAATTTCTCTTTCTAATATAAAATATGATGTATTATATTGTTAATAAAAGTCATATTAATAATATAATATTAATATGATTAATAACTAGTAATTTTTTTATTTCTGTTTATGAAATTTTGTTTATGTTTTAATTAAAAATAAACAAAATTCGAAAAATCTCTCTTGTATATTTATACGTTGCACTAAGTATTATATGTATCCTAACTATTTAACTGTATTCATTTGATTTCTGATTTTTTTCTACAGTTTATTTTCATAGATCAACAAAGTAAAACTATTATCGATCCCACCGCACTCTAAAATAAATGTTCTCTTAATTTTTATCAGATTATTAAAAAATATAACTCAATTTCAAGCACAAATAATAATTTATTTTTTTCTCCCTTTCCTAGTGCTTCTAGTCTTATTATTCTGATTAATCACCGATATTTTCTCTTATTTTTTGTACGCTTTCGTCTCATTCAATTTTGTGAGTGGATGTAACTTTAAATGAGGGGAATTGTAGGTAAAGTTGGCGAGACAGAGCAAAAGATCTGTTCATATGTTACATAGATTTAATAGGTTTCTATATAAAAAAATGATGCTTAATTGATAAACTGTTGATTTTAATTAATTTGAAAGGTTTGCTTTTTTTTTTCAAAAAGAAATTCTAATGTATTCATATATTTGACAATGATGAATTACCTGAATATATTTGTGAATGTGTGTGAAAATATTTTTTTCTATTTCCATGTCATGTGAAAATAAACGACTTGACTCTGTTAGAAAATATCTTGTTTTAGTTTATTTATACACTTTATATTAAAATTCATAAATTATCTGCATGATGAGTAAACTCATCGAATATCAACTTTATATTGCCATCATTGAGAAAAATAGTTAATAAGTATTTACTGTTTTTTCTCTCCATCGTATAAATGAAACTTATTTTTATATTATATAATTAAATATTTTAGTGTTTTTATTCATATAAAATATTTATTCTCTTTACCCAGTAAAGTAGATATGAATAATTTTACTTTATTTTATGAATTAAGATTTCGGAGATTTTTTTAAAAAAAAATTGATAACTATTCTCTATAGGTGCTTATGTCATCTTTCGTAATTGTTCACCTTCCAACTTTTTTTCACACTATATTTATTTATATTCAATATATCTCTTTTCTATAATCTATTTTTATATTAAAAATAATATTTTGAATTTTTGATTTCATAGAAAATTTATGTTTTTATGGTTTGTAAGATAAGCATTTGTTTTATATGAATGATTTTATTTTAGTTTTATACATATGTTGAGACCCATTTTACCGGATCGAAAGAGAACCCGACACGTGGACCTAGACTGCGCTCCAAGCTAGCTCGGCCGACCCACTCCCGCGTATTGTTCCGAGGCAGTTGGCAGACTTCCCCAAACACGCAAGAATCATTATCCTAACCTGCTCCCTTGGCGCGCCGCATGGAAGGGACATGACAAAGAACCCGCGAGTATAAGTAGAGAGAGATGACCACGAGGAAAGGGGATCGATCAAAGGATGAGGAGAAAAGAACCCCTCTAAAAGAGGTGATGCCTGCTCATGTCTAAGTCGGTCGATCCAGCCAAGCAGCACGATCACATGTGAACTTCATGTTCTTCCCGGGTGAATGCCGACCAGGTTAAGTCACCCAGAACTTCGCCTTCATACTCGCCTCGCTTTCCTTATGCTGTGTAGAAACCCCTTTGAAACACCTGATAACAGATAGAAGCCTCGATCCCGGACGAGACTTCTCACACCAACCCGTAGAAAACCCCCCTCCCGAGTACTTGTTCCCAGTAGGATGTTCATTGACTTGGGCGTCGGAGAACCTTCAGAAGTGAAACCCCTTTTCGGTCCTCCCGGAGGCTCATCTGACCTTTATTTGAGTGCTTACAGGATGGAGCGCAACATTCACCCCATTGCCCCGGGATCAGAAGCTTCCGCCCTGGAACGACTCGCTGCCTTTCCCCCTAGAGGACGAAACTCGGAGACACGACTCCAACCCCCCGACGAATCATACAGCCACACGTGGCATCCAGAAATTTGCTCTCGAACAGTTGGCGCTAGAAGAGGGGGGATCATCGGCGAATGTTCCACGAGGGAAGCGAAGCACTCAAAATTAGCTGCGCAGTTCTATGCCAACAAAGCTGCAATCCGCCCTCCTGCTTTCCAGAGGAATGATTTTGAGCTCAAGCCAGCTTAATGTCAAGTGAGTAATGGAGTTAGCTATGACTTTCTGTTCTGCAAGCTATTCCCTTACTCACTTGGAGGAGATGTTGCATATTGGCTGAAGCAACTGGAGCCTGGTTCGCTGACCACTTGGTAGATCACAAAGAATGCTTTTCTGAACAATTTCTATGATGATGCTAGATCAGAGGACATGAGGACGAAAATTGCATCATTCTCCCAAGGTCCTACTGAAGCTTTTAAAGCTTCTTGGCTGAGATTCAAGTCTTATCAAAGGGACTGTCCTCATCATGGTTTCAGTCAGGTGCAGCTGTTTGGGATTTTCTTCCTAGGCATTGACTGGAAGTATCATATGACGCTGGATGCTGCTAGCAATTGGAACTTCAACACCAACCTTCCAGAAGCTGCAATAACTCTAATTGAAAATTTGGCCTGCAGCAACAGCACCAAGAATGCAAACTTTCAGAGGATGAAACAAGCTGGTTTGAATGATGGGAATCAGATTTCTGAAGTCAAGGCTAAGCTGGACAGTATGCACAGCCTTTTGGTGGGAAAGAAGTCAGTTCACTTTTCATAGATCAACAAAGTGAAATCCAGAGGAGATTGAGAAGGAAGATGTGAATTTCATTAAAGCTGGAGGATTTCAGGGTCAAATGTATGGGAATCAGCAATGGAACAGTAGTAACAATGGCAATAAATAGAATGCAACTGGTTATACATCGAAGCCCCAGTTCCAGAAGACTGAGTTCCAGAAACCTTTTCACAACAACAACAACAACTCCAACAGGAACTATGTTTCTTCTTCCTACCAATCTGCACCTCCACAAGACAATAAGATGGAAGCTATGCTGGAGCAGATACTTGAAAAACAGCAGAAGATGATAGTGAACTTCAATGGCAAGTTGGATTCCTTGTATCAGGACCTAAATGGGAAAATTGAGAGTCTGAACTCTCACATGAAGAAGCTGAATGTTCAAGTTGATCAAACTGCAGGAGCTGTTCAAAGGCAAGAGGGATTCCTTCCTCAAAGGACTGATATCAATCTCAAACACCAGATTAATGCCATCACAGTCAGGAGTGAAAAAGAGCTTAAAACAGTACAGAGAAAGAGGCTGAGTACAGAATAAATCGTGCAGCAGATGGAGTTTGAAGATGAAAATTTCGCAGTCTCAGTCTAGTGACGAGCGTCACCAAGGTGGATGTCACTTGTCACCCAATTTTCAAAGCCCCGATAGAAGAACTCCTAGATCAGTAACGAGCGTCACCACCCTGGTGACGGTCGTCACCAATCCCAAAATGAGACTGTTTTGCCTATAACTGCAAATAATGGCCAGGAGCAAGCGTATAAACCCAATACACCTTTCCCCAAGCATCCTAGGAATTCTAAACAGGAGATAGAAGAAGCTAGATGCAAAGCTATGATAGACAAGCTGATGCTTGAGATTCTTCTTGTTGATGCAGTCAAGCTTTCACCAGCTCTATGAAGATATGTAAAGAGGATGGTGGTGAATGGTGTAAGTCCTGGGGAAGGAGCATTGCTTACCAGAAACATTAGTGCAATTCTCTTAGGCACAATTCCAAGGAAGAAGAAGAAGGTGACTGTTTCTGAACAAGTCAGTGTCATCATTTAAAGCAGAATTCCAGAGAAGCTTTCTGATCCAGGGACCTTTGTGCTTGATTGCTCAATCTTAGCAGGACGTTTTCCCTATTGTCTTTGTGATCTAGGGTCAAGTATTAACTTGATGCCTTCCTCTGTTGCTGCTAGACTTGGTATGACTGATTTCAAGCTAGCTGGGATCTCTCTTATCCAAGCTGATCGATCCATAAGGACACCAGAAGACATCTTAGAGGATGTTCCTGTTAACATCAAAGGCTGCATGATTCCCACAGACTTTGTGGTTCTGAAATATGCTGAAGAGCCTAAAGATCCTCTAATTCTGGGAAGATCATTCTAAGCTACAGCTGGCGCCATCATTGATGTGAAAAAGAGGAACATAGAGCTTGATCTTGGTGATGTTGTCTTAAATTTTGACATGGATAAGCTAAGAGGGAGTTCTACCATTTATGGCCAGACTTTTTCTGTAAGTACTTCCAGAGATGAAGAGCCAGTCGTGGAGCATTCAGAAGATATTACTGCTGGGTATGTTAATGAACTAGATACTTGTGGGCAAGTGAACAAGCTGGCTTTTCAAAGAGCAATCTCTGACACTTCTGCCAAAGCTGTTGGGTTTGAGGATTGGAGTGAAGATCATATCTTCAAGACTAGGCTCGAAACAGAGGCTCCAATTAATGACAAGTTGCTGGAGGAAGACGAGTTTGTGATGGAAGCAAAAATTGCAGAGCTGAATTGCAAAAAAGTTGCAGAAACTCGAACTGCAGGGTCAGTGACGAACGTCACTGACCTGGTGACGCTCGTCACCAACCTGGACACAAAAGAGCGACATGATCTTTCAGATACAGGTCC